GGCGATATTACAATAACAACTGGATGGTATATTGACGCACTCGTCAGACGTTCGTCTCCACCATTGAACTTGTCGTAAAAAAGCGAGGGCAGAAGATGAAAAATCAGTGACTTTCCGTAACCCGTAGGTAACACAGCTACAACGTCTCTACCAAAATATATTGCTTCCAAACACTTCACTTGCTTAGGTTTCAAAATAATATTACAATAATTGCTATTTACTAAATTAATATTGCAAAGTGAAGACTGCTATAGAACATTGCCAATACGATAATGCCAAAGTAATTACATTTTGACGCACGGACCCCCCCAAGGGACATAGCAAATTAAAGTGTCACGTGACCAGCCTGGACCAGGGTTTTTTCGCAGCGGGAGGTGAGCGGAGATAAAACCCTGGGTACGAGGTTGACTATAAGTCTATATTCAATTGTCTATACTGACCCTTGCGAGATTGGGCCGCCTGTGATTGAACTTTCAATTGATGATGGTAACAGGGTCTTAGCTAGAAGGCCGTGTTGGCCGTGTTATCGCGGCCAAAAATGGAAAAACACGGCTAGATAAAATGAACGCGGCTTCATTATTTATATAAGGCCGTGTAGGTTCATAAAGTAAGGTGGTGCTACTTACAACAGACAGAATTTCTTTCTATTTACGTCGTAAGAAAGTTTGTAAAATCTACTGTTCTTGTTGAAATTGGCAAAAGTGATCCGTGATGTTTTAATATTTTGATGGAAAATGGAAACCGTATAGTCTGTACGGTATTAAAGTGGTTTTAAATACCCCTAGGATTTGCTGAAATAACTTAATATTTTAATGCCAGTGCGCAATATGAGCGTATGCTTGCCTTGTATTTAGTTGCAAAGCATAGAACAACCACAGGAATATTGTCCCTTGTTGTAGAACCTTTAATTTGGCTATTCAAGGTAATTGACATGTGCACACCCTGGTCATTTAGAAACACGCCCAAGATCTATAATCCTAGCTAATATCCTGGATGGTAACAGACTTGATTCAAGTTGTTCCCACAAGACTAATACAGGTTGTTCATAACAAGTTGCTACGAGCATGTTGTCATTGTCATAGACTTGTTGGAACAACTTGTTGCAAGTCTGTTGCAAGGCTAATAATAATAATAATAATAATATTAATAATCCCCCCCCCCCCCATTCATCATACATTCGGCAAATGTCTACCAAACTTGGCAAATTGTTTTCGGATTTATTCGGAAATTGTTTTTGTGGTGAGCGAAAATATTTGAGTTGCTCGGAATAAAAAGTAATTGTAGTTATAGCAAAAATGTTACTAAATTTATGAAAAAAATTAAAATTATGGAAAAAGTTCACAAATCACAATATGTAAAAGTTTTCGTATCTTGGAAAAAAATTATGACATGTTGGGAAAAATTTTTTACTTTCGGAAAAATTATGATATGTCCGGAAAATTTTTTGTATGTCCAGAAAAATTAGGGTACCGATAAATTTTTATATGTCAGGAAAAAACAAAAGAAATATTAATTAGCGGTGGTGGTGCCTTGATAACTCAGCAAAATTCACTTACACCCCCCCATTCAAAGAGGTCTAGCGACGCCCCTGGGTGCGAACACATCTTGTTGACAAGTTGTGAGATTTTTACACATGCATGTACAGTTAGTGTGCTACAGTACCACCATCATTCCACACATGACAATTTCATTTCAAAAATACATTTGGAATTTTAAATCAACAAGCGAATTGTATGGCATTTCAATGTAGAAGACAGGGCTGTAACTACTGGGGAGCGGGGTTGGGAGGCGGGTGCAAACACCCCCAATGTTGTAATATAATTGCAGTTTTGTGGGGCAATGGTATTTCCAAGCACCCATGTATTTTTCTGTTTATTATATAAAGGACAGTCTTTGAAAAGCGATAATATTTACAGAAAATCGATAATTGAAAAGCGATAATTTTCACATGTGAGATTATCATGAATAATCTCACATATGAGATTATCACTTTTATCAGTGCTCGAAATCTTTATAAAGCACTATACTTTATATAATAAAACATTTTAACGACACGCTCGTCGGGCAAAAAATAAAAATAATTATGTAATTCAGCAAAAAATTTACATAATTTATTGAAAAGTAATAGTTGTAGGAAAATTTTTTTATAAATTTACGAAAATAATACTGACAAATTGTACAAATTACGGTAGATTAGTTCGAAAGTTAGTGAAAAATGGTATGTCCGAAAATCCCTCCCCACAAGCAAAACAAGCTCACACACACCCAGCCGCAATACCGAAGTTACGGCTCTGGTAGAAGATGTACTGTAAGAAAAGTTCCTGCTAAAATGTTTTATTACAGTATATGTAATTTCCTGGCAATGCTCAGTGCTGCTGGCGCTGCCGACATTTTCTTGCACTATACAACTTACCTTAGAAGCTAAGGTGTGTTTTAATCCTAGGAACCAAAGTGGTCCTAATATATAAATCCCTAAAAAAATTATTTCTTTTCTGTAGATGGAAGTGATTCGAAAAGTCTTTTAGGATATCTCGACGTCTCATTTCTTGCAGCTTATGCGGCGGGCATGTATTTTAGGTAATTGCACAACTTTTTAATTTTGAACGATCACGTGTATGCCGACCTTATATTTATTTAATATTGTATTAATGAGAAAAACTGCTAAACTACAGTATTTCAAGATTTACTCGGCATATTGATTTATTGGTAGAATTTCGAGATTGAGCAGTTACTGTATTTCGGCGCAAATAAGTCGAAATAAAACAAAAAGCGCGGGAAAATTTTGGTTTTGTAAGCGATAACAAGAAATATTAGCAACAAAATATAATATATAAAAACACTGAAATTGAGGAGAAAAACGTTTCGAGGCTTGTTAAAGATTGCAGACGGTTTTTAGACGGTGCTTCGATTAAGCGCCTCGTCGTTGTGCATAAAGTGCGCTTATTTGCGTGCATCGCTCTTTAATAAAATTGCACTGTTTGTTTAATATGCAATTGTGCTCCTTTTTCTAATTCGAAGGTTGCCATTTTTTATAAGGAAATCTACACTACACAGTGCAAAAATACGCCTGCCCGGAATTATTAAGTGTTCACCGGTTTATACAGTATGGCAAACAAATTTGACGAATTATTTATTAAAGCTTTTAAGAAACACGTTTAATTCGTCGGATATATCAGTAAAACACTGCAAGTTACGAGTTTATGTGCATTACTTCAGTACTAACTTTACAAGTTTCACGCCCAATATTCCAAATTTAGAAACATATAAACTTGGGAATATTCACAACAAACTAAGAGGAACCGCTTTGAAATTTTAATGAAAAGCGACCTGAAATTGACAATATAAGCGATCTGACGTGTTGTGACTTCAAGGAAGAACGGCTCGTTTCTGTGCACATGAAGTTCGTGATGTGTTGCTAATATACATGAATGCTCACGCATTATAAATTTTCCTTTCTGTTTCCTAACGTTCAATTATTTCATTGTAGTGGTTACATTGCAGAACATATGGACATACGTTTCTTCTTAACTGGTGGCATGATTCTAAGTGGTACATTTAGTATTTTGTTTGGTTTGGGATATTTTTTAAAAATTCATTCCTTGGCTTTCTTCATAATTATGCAGGTGAGATGATAATTACTATGTTACAGTATAAACAAGAGTATTTTAAAGAATATTTACAGCATAAGAATTGTTTCTTTAGTTTATTGTGTTAACTGGCTAACCCATTCATGTAATCCATGCTAAATTTAATTACATGTATTTTTCTATTTTCAGTTATTAGCAGGACTAGCACAGGTAAGTGTATGACGTAATTTTTAAAATTTTATTGAAACAGTATATATTAATACATTTTTTCTGATACCTTTGGTCTAAAGCCTGGTTCACATGATGAAATAAGCATAAGCACAAGCAGCGGAATCTTTGATGTGCATAAACGTAAGCATAAGAAGAACGCAACATTTATTCTTCTTAATATGTTTATGCTTATGCACATCAAAGGTTCCGCTTGCTTATGCTTACAGTATGCTTATGCTTATGCTTATTTCATCGTGTGAACCAGGCTTAAGAGCACTAGTGCTCATCTAGAGCATAGATATCTTATATACAGTACACTAGATAGTACATCTAATTATTCTGCAATTCAAAAATTGAAGCCGTGATTGCAGTCTCGGGTCGTTCCCATGAAATGAGAAGATTCGTATGTTTTCTATTTCTTAAACAGAGAACTTAAACATTAAGTTAACCCTATTCCAAATACGTTTTTAAACTATTCAAATGATGAAAGTTATTGTTGTTTTTAAACGTTTATTAGCAAGTGGGAACGACCAACATGGCCGCCATCTATTCAAATGGGTAACAGCTGGAATATTCTTGGCTTCAATTTTACTAAAAGAGATGCGCTATCTATAGTGTATAATTATAAGATATCTATGATCTAGAGAGCTCACGTAAATATTAATGTTAAAAATCTTGGATGTTAGAAAAAAACAAAAAAACTACCCGACTTCCGCGCAACCGCTCGAAATTCCTTCCCAGAGGAGACAGGAATGAATCAAAATATTCTTATACAATACTGTAAATCTCCCTTCTTGTGTAAGACAAAATTCTTACTGAGGCATTCTACTGTATGTCTATTAGAGACCTTGCGATTTTAGGACGGCAACGCGACGGCGACTGCTACAAATACAATAGATAATTGAAAAGAATTGAAAAATTACAATATGGATAATTTAGACGTTGTCCTCGCTCTGTTCACAACGCCAAATCACAGATTTTCACGTCTTGATACAACGGCTGCATTCCAAGCCACAACAAGTGCAACTTCGAACTGGGTTTATCAGAACTCTTCCCAACCATAAAACACATGTTTTCAACCTCTAAAACTGTATTAAATTCATACGATTGATAATATACGACGAGCTATCTTTACTACCATTTATATTTGAAGGAGTTTGTTTTGGCCGTCGCGTTGCCGTCCTAAAATCGTAAGGTCTCTAGTATATTGTTTCCATGACGAGTACCCAGGTTGAAGCCAATATTACAAGTACATATCGTATAGCAGCCATTTGCAAATACGTTAAATAGAAATAACCATGCAAGTTCTCCGCAATTTCCAAGAGTTAAAGGTTATCATACATATCAGAGTTAAAGGTTTATCATACAGTAATTATTTTGAGACAAACTTTCAACCAAACATTGGATATAATACAGTAACAGCAAATGAACTAAAATGAATACATTTACATAAGTCCTTTGATATGCATTGAATACTAAATTTAAATGCAGGAACAAAGTTAGGGCAAGGGTGATGTGTCCAAAACTGAGGCATTGTATACAGTAGTGAATTTAAATATGTTTTTCTTAGTCGTCGGGTTGGCCTGCAGTTGTTGAAGCTATTGGTAACTGGTTCGGCAAGGGACAGTATGTAGACTTATGTTATTCCCTACTTTTATGCGTTTGTAACATACAGTAGTAATTTAACTTTCATATTAACAAAGCCGGAACAGACCTTAGAAGTGCTTACAGTACACGTCACGCAGTTTTTAATACAGAGCACTTCTTGGATGCACAGTGTATTGTGGGATACCTTTGGGTCAATAATTCATTGTTTGCAGGGGCGTCGTAGGTCCACGTTTTTTTTTTTTGGGGGGGGGGGGCAAGGGCAGCATTTTCCCGACAAACGCATTTTTTACGATATACTGTACATAATATATGAAATCATATTGAATTAAATATTGACTATAACTGAGTCCGATTTCCGATATTTCATCTAATTTATATTTTTTATTCAAACACGTTTCGCATTGTCAAACAACGAAGAGAAGTAAAATTCCCGCT